GTCAGCACTGAAGGAGTCAGCACTGAAGGAGTCAGCACTGAAGGAGTTAGCACTGAAGGAGCAGCACTGGAGGAGTCGGCACGGAGGGCCTACGTACCGAAGGAGCAAGCACTGAGGGAGCAACTACTGAAGGAGTAACCACCGAGAGCGTCACAACGGAGAAAGTCGGTCATGAAGGGACAAGCACTGGAGGAGCGAGTACTGAAGGGCTTAGCACTGAAGGGCTTAGCACTGAAGGGCTTAGCACTGAAGTGACTCCTAAGTTCACACGTGGTGGGATTCCGGTGGAATCGACCGCTGTAGGAGTGCCAGGTACGACGTGGTTGCCGGGTTACACAAGCGGTGAAGGGGGTGGGCCGAGTACTCCTCGGGACCGGCCTTCCACTAGGCCCGTCTTCTCGACGTTTCCGAGTACGACCGTGTCGGAAACGGTCGCCGCAACGACCGTGTTGAAGGTGCCGAGCGATTTTATGCGGACCGTCTCGACCGCCCCGGCCGAGTCGAGCCATACGTGGCCGGCGACTAACTACCCTGACACGATCTACGACGACACCACTGACATGGTTTCCTCTATCGCTACGACTTCTAGTGTTACGACTTCGAGCCGATCGACTTCGAGCAGATCGACTTCGAGCGGATCGACTTCGAGCCGACCGACTTCCGGCAGGTCGACTTCCAGGAGTACGAGTCAGTCCGAGTCTGCGACTACGGACTGGTTTGGTACGGAGTATGGCTCAAGCGAGCCTGCCACGAGCGAGCCGTTCATGACTTCTTGGATGGAGCTGAGCACGTCGTTAGAGTCGTCTTCCAAGGAGGCGGACCTGGTCGTAGTTGTTCCGCCTGACGTGCTGGACAAGACGGAGCCGGCCTACTCGCCGCACACCTACGAGACGGAAGAGGGCGACGTGGTGGAGGTCACGATCCCGCATCCCCGCAGTCGCACGGAAGCCAGCGATACGACCGAACAGTCGCCGGTTCAAATCGCTCCAAGACCAAACACCACCCAACCACTGCCCCAAGAACCAACGACCAAGGCAGCGACGACCAAGCCACTGACTACCCAACCAAGCGCCACTTCTCCGCAGGGCACGTCCACAACGGAGCGATTCACGTGGAGTAACACGCCGGTGTGGACCGAAGCCGGGGACTGGTCCACCCAATCGGAAGACTGGTCGACCAGTTCGGTGGCTTTGCCGCTTGACCCCAGTTCGACCACTAGCGTTGTCACCAGCACTCAAGGAACTCCCAGCACCGTTAGGTCGACCAGGCAGCCCACTGTCAAACCGTCCTCCGCGCCGGAGACGATTCCCACCTCCACCCGAGCGGCTACCCCGACGGCCGCTCCCACGGTGCCAAGAGGAGCCACCGTTGTACCCGTGGCTGCCCCGTCCACCACCATGGCATCGTTACACTCGAGTGCTCCTTCAGTCAAGACAGGGAGCACGTTCCTCGGAGCCACCAGCGGGGTGGAACCTACTACAAGGACTAGTGTAGCAACTGTCACCAGCACTGGTGCGGCCACCACCCGTGGTGCAATGACCACCACTGGAGCGGGAACTACCACAGAGGAAGGCGGTGGTTGGACGACGGGGGTAGATTTCTGGACGACTTGGGACGAGAGTTTATTGAGGACGGGGGAGTTGAGTTCGAGCGAGCCGATGAGTACGGACGCTGAAGAGGTGCGAGTGCGGCCGGATTTGTTGTGGAACGACTTGGACGTCAAGCGTCGGGGATCAATAAATTTGCCGGATCCAGTGGATTCGGCGCGGTTGACAAAGAAGAGTCAGGTGCGGGCGTTGGTTAACGGGAATTACCGGTTTGTTCAAGAGTTCGGGAGCAAGGCGGCAGGGGTGATGGCGGATGCATTGATTGGCGAGTACTATAAGCGAATGACGGGTCAAGTGGGCCCTACAGTGAATGAGGTATCGTTGTTGATGGTTTATCTTCATGGTGTTCTCAAACGTCAAGAACGGGCGGTCTTCACTGTCATCGGTATGATACACGCTTTTGGCGAACCTCCCTGTGAAGTCCCGCATCTAGGCCCAGTCATTTGCGAGACTCTCAAACCCGTTCTGGAGGGCGCCATAGACAGCATCGATGAGTACTCCTGGAGCCTGGACGCCGCCAAGTTCGGCGGTCTACTCGACGCTATCGATTCGACCAACCATCAAATACAGAGCGAATCGAAAGGCCTCTATTCACATGAACGTACAAACGATGGTGTGGACATTCTCCAACTGCAGAGTTTCTACGACACGGACAGGTCTCGTGACGCATCGCTACGTGCAGGATCGCTACGTGCAGGATCGCTTCGTATACAAACAGACCGACCGGGAATGGCAGAGACTTATGAACAGCACGGTCTGCGAGGCGGTTACCCGCGTGTTAGCCAATTCAGTGGGGCAGTTGCCTCCAACCAGGACAGCAAGTGGATACAGTACTGGCCGGCTATTGAAAACATGTTGGCTACTTTTTAACAACCGAACATGGCGGTCGAACATGGCGGCCGAATATAACAACCAAACATACCTAATTTATCTGAGTAAATTCACGTGCAGATAATTTGTTCGTGTTTGTTAATTTGCACACGTGTGTGTAATTTGGTGTAATTTGGATTCAAGCGCAAGGGGCTATGAGTGTGGCTACATATTTGAGATGTGTACCAGACAATTGTAAGCTGTGTAATTCTATGGATATGACGGAGTTAGGATCGTGTTTAGACGAGATCCCGCTAGGTGCTCGTTGTAGTTGTGTATCTTTCGGCGATTCTCAGGCAAAGAGTTCCGTGTGCAGAGCTAGCGATGAACAGGGTTGTGCCATCTGGTTCGATTTTGAGCAGCCGGCGGGTAACTGGCTGCCCGTTCAGATTGAGTTGGTCGTCGGGAATTTCGCTTGGGATTCAGAAGCTGGCCTCTCAACTGAAACGTTTGCGACTGAGGAGCCCGAAGACTGCAACTGTCTAACATTAGGCCAGAATGACGGGACCGTACCCTCATGCTATAATGTGAACGTTACTGATAATATGCAGCGGGTAATGAGGTCGAACGACCGAGAGCAAATTGACATCGTCAATTTGAACCAGAGCCGTTCACTTAACTCCACCGTACTAGTCAGTAAGCATTCGTCTACCCCTGTCCTCATGTACCCGCGCTTACTCCCGAGTACTTTGTTTCAATCGGTTTAGTTTCATGCAACTTTCTTGCAGGATTTAATTCCACCGACTTGTGTCAAGACATTCACAATTTTCGAGTAAGCAACAGATACCTTACCATGAATGCATTAGAGCCGTCACTGAACTCAATGACTGACCTTCATGGACTCCTAATCATCATTATATTATTCCTTGCCACTGGTGGCATATGAAAAATAGGCTACAGGACAGGCTAGGCTAGGCTAGGCCAATACCTGAAGTCGATATTTTTGGACATGTCGCCGTGCTTAGTATGGGGTTTGTGGAATAATAATTTGCCTCTTCTTAAATTAAAATGCGGAAGACAGATTTGAGGAATCAGCACAAACAGCAACGTCTGAAGCATGAGAAACGGTTACGGTCTAGTGGGCCTCAGGAGGTGACTGGATGGGAGTCGTATATGAGTAACACTCAAGCGGGGAAGCTTGTAGGATATTTCTCCTCCGTGGACTTTAAGAAGATGAAATGGTGGAAAATGAAAGATCAACTTGCCACTAATCTGCAACAGAAGAAAGGCTGGACAGCCGATCTGAATCTGGAAGAGGGGTACACTACGCAAGATGAAGCCCTGGAGAAGTTGTTGGAAATTGGGGAAGCTATCGCAATGCAAGTATCTGCGGTTTCCACCCGACCGCACTCAGAGGATGAAGACGAAGTTCTGTGGGCTAAGAAAATGATAAATGAAGGAGTGCTCAAGGATAAGGCAGCTGCTGCCGTCACGCTTGTTGAAGCTTGCCCGATGGTCCACTCAGCGCGGTTAAAATCTATCCTGGCTCATGTCAGCGCAATTAACAGAACAGAGAAGGATATTGGTATTGCCGCAATGGTCCAGCTCTACGAGTCCAAGCTCTTGATTCCCAACAAGGAGGAACTCCAAGTGTTCAAGAAGCCGGAGAAGGTGGCTGAAAAAAAACAAGAATTCGCCTACAACGAGATCGCCCTCAAATTCTTCATCAGGAAACGGGGAAATAAGTTTTATATCATTGATTCGGCGCAACTAATAAACGACGGCCCCTTACCGCGACTGTTTCTATGTCTGGTGTTCGAGCATATTTTGGCGACGACAATTGCGCAATATTTATTCGAGTTGCACACGCGTGTGTCCGACTCTGTCGAGCATACTAGACGCGTCGTCTATGAGTCCTGCGTGGATATGATTAGGAAACCGAGTCAGCGCGAGACAACAACGCGCATTGCGCTGCGTTATCTCGGTGACCCGAGCTCCTCTCTGCATTTCAAGATAGGAATGGCCTTTGGCAAATTGTTTGTGGATCGCGAGGACCTGAAGCCGTATGTGTGCGCCAGAGTAGAGGAGATCATCTGGATGCAGCAGGTCGATGCGCATGTCATCAGCAGACGCGACGCGGGCAATTTTTCGCGCCCGAAATCTGCCGAAGGCACCCTGGCTAAGGTCTCGAAACGTGCCAAAACTGCCAAGAGGGAATTGAAGCGGTTGGTCCGCAAGGTGGACGACAACCTCTTGGTGCGGCACGGCGGTGAGCAAAGAGCCCACACCACGATTTGCAACGCCACCAAGTTCCTGGGTGAGGTGTGTTACTCAACCAAAAATAAAAGCTTCATCGAGGACCAGTTCCACCGATTCCTCCGGTTGTTGCGGCGCTTCATGGCCCCGTCGACAGCACCCAAGCTGTTGTCGCTGCACTCTAAGCAACTCAAGTTTGTACGAGCGCAAAAGAAAAAGCAGCGACAAGCCAAGGCGCAACCGGCCGCGTCGCAATTGGCCAGCAAGGTGAGCGCGGCCACAGAGGCGAGCGCCACGACGGAGACCACAGAGGCGAGCGCCACGACGACGTCGACGACGGTGGACCCGGCTGTGGCGGAGGCTGCAGCGCGGCGGTTGATCGGCGATCCGATTTCTTACGCGACGGGGTTGGGTAATACAATAGCCGGTACCCAGGTGTTGCATTACGTGTTGCACGGGCTGAAGCGATTGATTCCATACAGTTCTGAGGAGAAGGCGCGGAAGTTGATGACTACAGACGTGCGCACGGGAGAGTCTGTGATGGCCTTTGTAGCGGTGTCCGACGAGTTGATGAAGATTGCGCACAAGGCGCCGTGTCTGGTGACCCGCGTGCATGCGTGGGTGTTGTGTCACCTGATGCTGAGTAAGGTGCATGAGCAGCGGCGGATGGTGGGCAATTTGTATGCGCAGTTAAAGGATTTGCGCATGATGCACACGCGTGCGAGACATGCCTGGCTGGAACTACACCTGGCGATCGTAGCCGACACGAGTTGCAGCGCAGTGGCTCGCGCAGCGTACCTGCGTCGCCTCGTCTCGGTCTTGGCGCTTTCTGATTGCGAAGGCGGCCTCCTTCCCGTGTTCGCACACGTCGACCAAGTGCTACGACGCGACGAGACCGCGCTCCGGGAGTGGGTCCTGGAATGTCTCGGCGCCATGCGTCCGTCTGGCACCGTCCAGGGCAGCGGCTACGACGCCGATGCCTTCAGTCCCGAGAAGTCAGAGTCGCTGAGCTCCATGATCTGGGAACTCACACTCGCTCGTTGCCACATGGTTACCGCGCCACGTGATGCGTTCGCCGCCCTTACCACTGTCGCCGCTGCCAGCGAGAGCGAAACCGAACCACCTTCGGTCCTCTCGCTCCTCGGCTGGGACTCTCTCCAGCCCCTGCCTGGCCGTCAGACTGAGGAAGCCGGTGCCGCGACCGGCACGCCTACTGCCGCTGCGGCTGCTAAGAGACTGAATAAAACGATGCTAGATAGTCAGTCCCTTAGCGTCTTGTACCGGCTGTTGGTGAAACAAACTCTACGAAAGGCGCTCTCCGCACCTGGCGGCAAGACGGGCGTTCAAATCTCAGAGGAGGAGGAGGAGGAGGACGCGGTCGCGGTCGAGGCCACCCAGTTCTGGGACTTGGACATATACAATGGGGCCTTTTGGCGCGCGGTGGGCGCAACACACTTCGCTTTCCCCTTCCGCAGAATGTTGGAGCCCGCTTTCAGAAGCTCCGCCAAAGAGAAACGCCCTGGTGCCACAGATTTCGAAGACGAAGTGGACCGTATGGCCGACGCCTGGGTCACTGGCGCTACTGGGCTTGCCGACGACGACGACGAGGAGGACACCGCCGACCTCTCGGGAGATGAATTCTCCGACGTGGGAATGGATCTCGAATAACTTTTTACCCTCACAAATATCACGCACACACAGCGATAGAAAGGGAGAGATAATACAAAGAGATGATGATAGAAAAGGTTGGTCTAAGTGGCGAAGGATCACTGGTCAGTCATCTTCGGCAAGTCCTTTGTAGGAGGCGTCGATTGGCCCGAGGGCAAGTTTCGAGATCCATAGTTCGGGTGCCATGTCGCCTGCGCCGCACTTCTCGAATGACTTGGACACCAAGTCGTAGTTCTCCGTGCAGTCGACGTGGAACTTGCTGTGTTTTACCACCGCTCTGAAAAGCTCGACCACTGCTCTGTGGGTCCCCACTTGGCCGAACGAGTAGGCAATTGTCTCCGCCGAAACGTCCTTCATTATGGCCAGCAGCTCGTCAGAGGCGCACGTCTCGTCCACTAATACAATTGCCAACACAGGCTTCGACAGGCTCTCTAAAACACAACGCTTCCTTTGCCGCCCACACACCCCAGTGTGTGTGCACACCCTTATATGTGTGCACACCCCTGTGTGTGTGCACACACATGAGTGTGCACAGTTTACATGTGTGTGGCTTACGTCGTTTCATAGGTCCTTTGACCAGTTGGTTGACGATTTTGTCTTTGAGAGCATTGGGTACGGTATTCTCACCTTTTTTTTTGGTGATTTGCGCGAAAAGGTTTTCGACGTCTTTGCTGGTTTGGAGGTTGTCATGTTCGTAGGAGGAGTTAACAAACCGGATCTTGACTCCGCCGTCGGTACTGCCGCCGTACATGTGCAGCAAGATCTCGGTCAGGTACTGCACACTTGCCTTGGCCTCGTCCATGCGTTCCTCTGTGTCCATGGTGGCGCCGTCGGAGCAGAGGAAGACCACGTCATAGAGCACAACCTTGAAGAAGTCCGATGTCAGGTGCTCGACACGCCACTGCCGGCAAAGGCTTTGGACAGCCGGATAAAAGGGAGCATGCTTCTCAACCAACGATCGCACCCCCACCGCGTCGTAAAATCGCTCCAAGTGATTCTCCTTAACCGCCGTCCACAATGCCTCGAACATGTGTCGTCGCACACTGTCATTAAACGGGTTCGATATGTCCACCACCGGCTTCTGCTCCCGCGTACCCTGCACTTGGTCCGTCGCAGATTGGGTTGCCGCCCCTTGGTTTGGCGGCAATTGATTCGGCACCATCGGGTTCGACGCTAGCTGGCTCTGCATGGCTTCGATCTTCGCTCGATAGTAAGCGTTCTGCTCCAATGCGATTGCATGGCTATCACAGCGCTCTGGTTGCGTTTTACTGCCGGCTGCTCCTCGAAGACTGGTACTCTGCTTGGCAAAAAATTTCATTGTTTTTGGAAAATGCTTCGGGCACTATTTGCAAAGGACTGGATGGTGGGTACGGTCACTTGACGTTCGGTCACTTGACGTTCCGAGATATATGTCCGAAAAACATGTCTTTGTCATCTAGGTCTTTGTCATCTAATTCTTTTACATTACGTGAACGCGCACTTGCGTGTGCATTAGCACAAAGTGTGCGCTTTTCGCACGGGGCTCAGCACCAATGCTAATCGTCTTCAGCAAGGCCTTTGTATGAGGCGTCAATGGGACCGAGTGCGAGTTTTGAGATCCAAAGCTCGGGCGCCATGTCGCCCGCTCCGCATCTCTGGAACGACTCCGCGACCAGATCGTAATTTTCTGTACAGTCTACGTGAAATAAATTGTGTGTCATAAGCGCTCGGAACATGGTGACCACTGCGTTGTTCGTACCGACTTGGCCGAACGAGTAAGCAATGGTCTCCGCCGAAACGTCCTTCATTACTGTCAAGAGTTCGCTCTCTGCACTGGGTTCGTCTACCAACATGATAGCTAGCACCGGCTTGGGTAGGTTCTCTGCAGGACAAACACACTGTGTGCGGGACATGTGTGCGCAGGACATGTGTGCGCAGGACATGTGTGTGTGTGTATAGGGCACGCGTATGTAAGGCACGTGCATATGTGGTATCGTTACGGTGTCTCAAGGGTCCTTTGATCAT